ATAGCGATTTAGTAAATTTTAATGAAACGTTGGAATTAATTTTAACTAAAATAGATGTTAAACATAAATAATGAATATACATATAAGTGTTCTCCAACTTTTGTGAAATGATTTGTTCATCATTATTATATTGAATAATATATAACACTTTGCAGGATATAATTGTCTGTTTATGACCTTTAATTTCTATGTGACAGTATTCATTTGTATATTACTCTCTCGTTATACCCCTCTGTCAGGTGATCTACGTGCTGTAAACAACAACATTCTAGATATGTACCAGTTGAAATCACTCCATATCTATTTGGCTATGAATTTGGAGTCAATGGAGAAGCTTCCGGATAACACATACCTTTGTGTTTTTGACGATATCGTTCCACACTGGCAAGATAAACAGGGTCACTTCAAGCTCAGAGTGCCTCCGTACGATCACGTGATTTGTTGTACTGGTTTCAACTATATTGATTTGACACTATTTGATGAGAATTGTAAACCAAGTGAGTATTTGAATCATTCAGATTTTGTATGAAAACGCTTTTTCATCCATTTAAAGTTATACAAAAATATGAAATCATTCACTAAAAGCAAACAATTTAATTGTGTTATTCAATTCAACTTTATTACGGTACACTAGTAATGGAAAACAAAGATTTATTTATCTTTTTATAATTTAAATAACTTCACTATCAATTGTTTCATAATCTAATATACCATATTCTAAATTTGTTTATGTGAACATTACTTTTTCTTATTCAGATACCAATGCCGATGGAAAGTTTCCAGTTCTGTCAAGTACATGGGAATCTAGCATACTAGGTATATATTTCATCGGCGCCGCCATGCTGGCAAATGATCGTAAAGCAGCATCTGGTTTTATCCATGGTTTCCGCTACAATATTCGTACTTTGCATCACATATGCGAAGAACGTTACCATGGCAATCCTTACCCGCGTGATTATTTACCAATTACATTGGACAGCCTGGCGAACAAAACTGTCGGTAAGTGTGACTCATCTTTCTTTAAATAAATTGACTCTACATTTATATTTATCGTTTAGTTTGTACACATATTGCTCAATCGCCGCCATAACTTACTGTTTGACATGAGATATATCATGATCACCTGTTTGATGTGAAGCGTAACACTCCATGTATAATTTTGTATTCATATTAAACCATGTTCACACTGATGTCACCATGAACTACGTCACATGACTGCCAATTTAGCAAACTCCGGTGTATGGTAGTAATTCACTACAAGAAAATACAATTAGTTATCAGGAATATTTCACATTGAAATAAAATATACAATTGTCACTGCTAGTGACACACCGTAATACAGTTCTCATATACTACACTAAAAACCCAAATATTATCGTCAATGTATTTTACCGTTTGATGTTATTCAACTGGAACTCAACTCAACCTCACCAACCACATGACTTTGGATATGATGATGGCAACAGAGAATTTCAGCATTAATTAATGGTAATGAGTCGTTATTCACTCACATGACTGCGCACACATATGTGCACAATATTGTGCATATCATTTAAGACAGATGATATTTTCTCTCTGCCAGCAATATTTTAGCTGAAATGTATAAATAATTTTGTTTGATATTGGATGATGGAAACCATATATGAAGATTTATCATAAAGTACTAAAAGTTCATAAAGTACTTGGAAACTGCATGACTCCGATTTACCTATTCGTATGAGCAATATACACAGTATTCTGATTAATTGAAGGAGTTCTGTTATGTCCACTGACATTTTACGATAAATCATACCATACATTTTTGTATAACATTATCCACATCGTCTATTAATATTTTGCTTTTTTAATTTCTATTTTTTTTTAATTTTTTTGCACCAGAACGTTTCAGCATCGGTGATGCTATCTATCAGCTTAACGACTTCTTGTGTAATGTTTTGGTTATTCCTGAATTGAATGATATCACAGAAACAAGAATTAAAGCAGAATATTACGAGAATCTTCCTAAATCGTATGTTTTGGAGAGTGGAATATTTAAAGGATACAAACATATGTTTGTTGTTGTGCTGGCTTATGGGTTTCATCGGTTAGTTT